TGCCCAGGCTCAGGCCCAGGCTCGGGTGGAAGAGGCTGCAGCCACCTGCTGTGACACACACACACCGCCCCCCCGCCCCCGGAAGGCCAAGGCGGAGTAGTGGGTGCCGGGCTGGCGTGCCCGCGCTGGGGGCCTCCCTCCTCCTGAAACCTGGGCTGAGACCCTCCCCCAGGTCGGTCTCCTCCTGGTGGTGCCTCCGCAGAGGCTCCCAGGCGGCTCTCGCCTGGCCACAGGGAAGCACGGCCCCAACTGTCCAGCAACAACCACCTGCCGTGACCAGACCTGAACCTGAGTCCCATCCGCTTCCTACTGCCCAGCCTTGCCCGCTGCTCCAGCCGCCACAGGGCACACCAGGCCACCTCCTAGGCCATCTGTGGCCTCGGGGCCGGAAGGAAATGGACACCACCTTGTACGGCCTGATAACAGCAAATGACCAGCGTTCTGCCGGCCACCGACCCTCTGTTGGCACCACACACAAAGGTGACAGGACCATGGCCAGGCAGGAGGGGACCGGTCCTGGAGACGCTTATCCCCATGGCAACAGCGGGGACGCCAGCCAAGAGCTCTGTGAAGCCTCAGGCAGCCCAGCCACAGGTGGCGGCCGGAGGTCTCTTACAGGCTCCTGTCTCCACCAGGACGGCCGCCCGAGAGCAGTGGTCGCTGTCTGCTCCCTCCGTGCCAGCTCAGAGGCCCTCCAGACATTTGTGGGCGGGGAGGGGCCACCCGTCTGGTGGGATCCACCTCTGCCCCTGACGCATGGCTCCTCAGCATGGGCCAGGGACGGCCTTCGGACTCCAGAGCCCAGCTCCTAGGCCCTGGCCGCCGGCCCCCAACGACCACCTCAGGGAGCGTAACTGGGCGGGAGATGTGGGGAGAGGCCGGGCACACATGGGGGCAGGACCCAAGAGAAAAGAAAGGAGACGCCTGTCTGCAGGAGCTCAGGGTCCGGGGCAAGGCGACGGGTGGTGAGCACACAGACAAGACACGCCGAGCCCACCAGGTGGAGGGGAGTGCCAGGGGGGTAAGGTGGGCAGGGAAGGGGCCACAGAAACTTCCAGAACCATGACAGGCTCAGGACTTCCCAGCAGGATGGGATGGCAGGGGGGAGGCAGGTGTGCAAAGGCCCTGTGGCCCAGGTGATTTCGGAGACTGTACCTGGCCCAGGTTGACCAGGGAGCCCACAAACAAGGCAGAAAGTGGGGAAGGGAGACCGTGGAGAAGTTCTGTTTTGGTGATGAGGCTGCGTGACCTTGGGGGCACACCCAGGTGCAGACTGGGGTCAGGGAAGCCAGGAAAAGGGAGGACTGTTCGAGGAGGGAGGGGAGTGCTTGTCGACAAAACGGGCCAATGGAAAGGGGGCTGGAGGGAGGGTTCCGCAGAGTCCCCCGGAGATGAGCTGGGGGCAGGGGCAGGTGTGGGGCCCATGGCCAGAGGGGGCCCTGCGCCAGCAGCTACAAGAGGCCGTGGGTGTGACGTGCCCATGGTGGACTGAGATGTGTGCACCCCCCACACCCCCCGCGCGGGCAGGGGCAGAGGCGTTGGCTGTGCCATGCGGTGGTCACAGCTCAGCGTCCCAACTGGGGGCGGGAGGGCTCTTCCGAGGGAGCAAGGACGTGGAGGTACGTGGGACACCTGCCCAGTGGGGGAGGCAGGGGCTGGAACAGGGCAGGGGAGATGCCTGGAGAATCCGGGAGGGTGGCCGGCAGACGACGGCCCCACTTGTTGCTGGAACCCTGGGCTCTGCGTGACCTTTCCTCCCTCGCACTGTTCTGGACAGTTCAGGCTTTTAAAAGTGCACATGCATCCCTGGCCGGTGTTGCTCATGGGTTAGAGCACCGGCCCAAGCACCGAAGGGTCAGGGTCGGATTCCTGATCAAGGGCAGGTACCTGGGTTTCAGGTTCACCCCCGGGCGCCGGCAGGGGTTCCTGCGGGAGGCAGCCCGTAGCAACCAGCCAATGTGTGTGTCTCTCTCCCCCTCCCTCTCCCCTCCTTTCCACGCTAAAAAGCAACGGGAAAAAACACCCTCAAGTGAGGAGTAATCAAATAAACGTGCACACGCATGTCTTTTTCAAGAAGCAAAGCTATTGCCATGGCCGGTTTGGCTCAGTGGATAGAGCATCGCCTGTGGACTGAAGGGTCCCGGGTTCGATTCCAGTCAAGGGCACAGGCCCGGGTTTCGGGCTCGATCCCCAGCTGGGGGCGTGCAGGAGGCAGCCGATCAGTGATTCTCTCTCATCATGGATGTTTCTCTCTCTCTCTCTCTCTCTCTCCCTTCCTCTCTGAAATCAATAAAAATATATTTAAAAAAAAGAAAAGAAAAGAAGCTATTTTTTTTAACGTCACGAAATCAAGTAAACCAAGGGCTGGACTGAGGGTGGACCCCCAGGCTGGGGAGGTGGGACCTGCAGGGGAGCGGGCGGGAGGCAGGTGG